AAATGACATAATCCATGCAAAGTGCCCAGCACAACATAAATACTCAAAAAATGTTACTGTTAGCTACCAGGACGATGAGGATGCTATAAATATCCAGATGTTCAAAGTTAAACTTGATTTTCTCACAGGATAGATTTAGACTATTAATTTAAATAACTAATGAAGATACTAAATATTTTGTGAATACTTAAGAACTGTACACTAATAGCTTGGACCTAACTTTACGGCATAAGCTTAGTAAATGTAGGATTCGTTCACTGCACACCTACTACGTGAGTTGTGGGAAATAAGAAAATGACCTTTACCCTCAAGGAGTTTACAAAATAAACACAGATAACTAATCACAATTGTCATAAATGTGGCACATTAAGGGAGGTACACAAAGCATTATGGAGAATTCCCTGAGGGACTGGCAAAGGCTTCTTAGAAACATCTAAGAACCTTTTCTTTGAAAGCTGCCCTGGGCTTTCTTTCATCAAATCTCCCAACAGGAATTAATACTCTCAAGCCTCTTACCTCAACCACCAAGAATTGATACTCAAGCCTCTCTCAATTAGGGCATACCTACATGCAACGCCTCTCACGTTCTTTTTTTTTTTCCCTTTTAATTAGTTAATTTATTTTTGGTTGCCTTGGGTTTTTGTTGCTGCACGCAGGCTTTCTCTAGTTGCGGTGAGCGGGGGCTGCTCTTCGTTGTGGTGCCTGGGCTTCTCATTGCAGTGGCTTCTCTTGTTGCGGAGCATGGGCTCTAGGCACACGGGCTTCAGTAGTTGTGGCGCGCGGGCTTAGTTGCTCCTCGGCACGTGGGATCTTCTCAGACCAGGGCTTGAACCCGTGTCCCCTGCATTGGCAGGCGGCTTCTTAACCACTGCGCCACCAGGGAAGTCCACGTTCTTAAAATACAAAAGTTTATCTCACGTCCACATCAACGTTGTTTGATGAAGCTGGCAACATTTGCAATGAAACAAGGACTCAAAAAACTTTTAAATGGCTTTGACCTTCTTTCTCAGTGAAGAGCTGTTGCTTTTGCATACTGGTTCTGAGAAGCGTGAAATTGGTGTCCAATTAAATTGCACTTATTACTCCTCCCGAGTTAGTGAAAGGAGAAAGTTATCTCAGACTCCTGGTGAACCAGCCAATATAAATACCTGGGACGAGAAAGCTCCATTCACACAATGGAATGTCTAACTGATAAGGAGTTTACTGAAATAGAACCAAGAGGCACACCAAGCTGTATTACAGAACTGAATGTGCTTCAAATGTTCAACAGACTCGGGTTCATAATTCTCAAATGACCATGAATTTCTCACTTCAAAGTAAAAGAAGCACAATGAGATATTAAAATAACTCTTAGGGGTATCATGCTGTAGGTGCATCACGAAATTTGCCTCAAGTCAATGAAAATGAATAGTTGAGTAACAAGACTGAGTCATAAAAAAGTGATTATGTATACAATTACTGTGTTTGCTAATCTAGCTGATGGGCAGATGGTACGGTGGTCTTAGAAATCATCCCTGTAATGACTCTGTAAAAGACTCAGTGTCCCCTCCTCTCCATTAATATACCACCTAGTATTCAGTGTATGGTTTCTTAAGTTCACTTGGTTAAAATGGAGAAAGATATGTACTTATATCCACTTTTAAACTTGAATTTTAAACAGGAACCTGGGATTTCATTGTAAGTTAATGATTCTGCAAGTTATAATACCACAATCATTTTTTTTCTTACATTATCCACTATTGGATTGGGCATTTTACATCTTTTAACACAAAGTGTGTAGAATTTCTAACAGAAATGGTTAGACGTTGTACTTTTCACTGTCATCACAAGAAAAACCCTCTCTACAATCTTTCGCACTAAGGCTAGAAAATGCTTCGTCTCTGGACACCTAAATGTCTCTCAAATGTTCCTAGATGAAATCCAATTGGACAAAATTCACCTTAGGTACTTTAGGAATGGCAGTAATAAACAAAAACAAGATATTATAAAATGGGCAGAAGACACCAGAAAGCTGAATAACACTAAAGTAATTTTATGATTTTTAATATCTTGCACACAATGGAAAGGAAATATTCTTTAATGGCAACAGCTTGTATTTGCTAAGCTCTTACCAGTTTTCAAGGGGCTTTTAAATATATCATTTTATCTGGTCCCTCCAATAACTCACAAAGGTGAGTAAGGAACAGAGTATTATCCCCACTTTATAGATGAAGAACCAGAGACCACGAGAGATTAGGTGAATTGTCAAATAACTAGATGAAAAAGCCATGCCTTCTGACTCCTAGTCCAGCATTCTTTCCACCACATGTTCTTAAATATGGAGTTATTAAGTATTAACTAATAATAATGTGATTATTCCTCCTCGGCATTCTTCTAAGTTCACTCAGCTTCTCAGCTTTCAGTTAAAATTCCTAAATAACTTCTTTCCAGCCTCATCTTCAAAAAAGAAAAGATGTGTGTTTGTGTGTTATAAGAAGACGTTTGTGACAATGATTTGGTATCAGCACACCATGTCCACCTGACCTTCCCCACCTTGTTCTAACCTGAGACCAGAAACAACAGTTAACTGTTAAGCAGACCCCTTTAATCGGCCGAGAGCAAATCATCTCACTGCCTCATACCCATCACTGAATATCTCTATCAAATTGGTGGATTTATGAGAAATGGGTAAATATTTATCAGTGCCTTTTCTTATACCTAACAGTAATCGATGAGGACTTCAAAAGGTATCTAGCATAGTAATACTTGAAAGCAAAGAAAACTATCACTGAGTGGGGAAAAAGCAGGTCCTGGTTAATCACCTCAAAAACTTTTACTCAATCATTTTATTCAGCTAACATTTACTCATTATATCAGGGACAGTGCTCTGGATGGACAGAAGTAAAAAGAAGAGCTACCACTGACTGAATGGTTACCCTGTCCTGGACACTATTATAGGTGATTTGTGAGAATTATCTCATTTAACAAATTAATGAGGTAAGTACCATTATACCGTCATTTTATAGCTGAGGAAACTGGAAGTTTACGTTAGATGCTCCATGATATGCAGCAGGTAAATGTCAGTTCAGGGATTTGAATCCAAGCCACCTGATGTCAGAACCTGTGCACTAAACCAGGCTTCTGCAAACCACAACTCATGGGGCAAATCCAGCCCGCCACCTGTTTTACTACAGCCCTAAGAATGGTGTTACGTTTTTAAATGGCTGGGGGAAACAAATCAGAAGAAGAGTATTTCATGACATTTGAAAATTACATGAAATTCTAACTTCAGTGTCCATATATTACAACAGTCGCACTTGTTCACTGACACATTGGCTACGGTATGGCTGCTTTCACATTACAATGGCAGAGTCGAGTAGTTGCAACAGAAACCATACATGGCCTGCAAAGCCTGCAATATTTACTATCTGGCCCTTTACAGAAAAATGTGCTGACTTCTGTGCTAAGCATTTCCACTTTATGCTTATTTAACATCTCTACTTGGATGTCTTAAGTAGCATCCCAAACTTACCATATCCAAAATCGAACTGATTTCCTCCACTACCTACATCCAGATCCATATTTTAATAGCCTTGGCCTTGGAAAATCCATCCTTCTAGCTGTAAAAGCTATATACCTAGAATATCTCTGAGTTCTTTCTTTCACTCATGTTCAAAACCATCAGCACATCTGGTCAGCTCTGCCTATGAAACATCCAACCACATCTCATTCCTCCACTGCTAGCACCCTGGCCCAAGCCATCACCACCACTTTTCTGAATTGCCACTATTATCTCCAAGTCCCTCTTGCTTCAGTTTTTGCCCAAGACAGCAGCCAGAATACTCTTCCACTCAAAAGCCCTCTTGGTGCTGGCCTGCTTCCCATTGCTGCAGACCTCTTCCCAGATACCATCCCATTAGACAGGCCCTCCCTCTCCACCCAGCCCCACACCTACACTCTTAGGCCCTGGGACTCCTTTTCCCCCCACTTTACTGTCTGCCATATTATCACAATCTGCCATTCAACATGTTGACGAGGTTTTAATTGAATTTAAGCTCCATGAGGGCAGAAGTTTAGCTCACTTTCTTTATTAGCATATCTCTGGCACTACCAGAGCCTGGCATATATTAGGTAGAATATCTGCTGAATCAGTGAGAAAACGGTCCCTACACTCAGGAAGCACTCAGTTCAGTGACATACAGAGACAGGTGAAGATGATCAACATACAAATATTTGTACTGAATGGGGCTTAATAGTTTATTTCTTAGTTTATCTAGTTTCTTATGAAACAACCTATTCTAAATCAATCAACTTTGGGGGTCTCAATCAAAGCAAAGAGAAAGCTAGCTTTGTAACCTCATGGTCTATGTATGAACTTATCCTAGACAACAAATATACTTCACTGAACAGGGGCACTGATTGGGTCCTCAAGCTCCCATTCTTAAACCCACTGCTTCCTTTTGTTCCAGCCTTAATTTCCCTCTTTGCGTCTCTGTCAAATTCTAGGGTCAGGTCAACCAGAGGTACTTCCTCCACTCCTCATCCTAACTCTTCTCCTGAGTCCTACTATTTAGCTCCTGTCCACCAGTTTTGAAGAAGACATTCATTTCTTGGCCACAAGTGCAGTGAAACAGCTTTCACAAAGACAATTTATCCTTTAAAACACTACCATTTCTAAGAACGTGCTCAAGTTTAGTCAATGTTTGGGAAAGCCAACAGTAGCACTCTACTGTTTGACCTGGAGACAATGCAGTTTCTAAACATACAGGGAAAAATATTTGGAAGGAGTTCCTTAGTAGTAAAATGCATCAATGAACAAACAACACAACAATATGCAAAACTACCAAAGTAAAAATGACATTATCTTCGAGAACGATCTGCACACTTGGCGTCTTCATTTCCTGGCCACTTTTTAATGAGAAAAAGCAGTTACAGTGCTAATGTACTGATTTTTAAATATATACATGGGAACACCGCAAATGTGGTAAAAGAAGAGAATCACTGACAAGAAATAGTCATACCCTCTCCTCCAGTCTAGCCAGCTGCTCTTTGTAGAATGCATCCTGCTTCTTTATCACTCGATCTTTCTCTTCCAGCTGCTTAGCCTAAAAAAAGAAATGAAGAATATACTATATGAAGAAAAAGCAGTAACAGCAAAGCAGAAGTATAAACTGCATTAGAAATAAGTATTCAAAGATGAAGATTTTTGCAATCTATTAGGTCTCTGCCATAGAAAAAACATTAATAACATGAGGACTGCTGCAACTAAATGTAAAGAATGAGTCTGCATTGCACTTGTTGTTAACTGTAACAGCTGTGTCCTACTTTGTCCAAGTGTTTTTGATAATGTCAGAATACAGCACAGACAGTTTTATTTAACTTCTCTTTCGAAGAGTAATTTCAAGGATTAATATTTTGCACAATAAGACTTTGATTTTATTCCAGGTATAATACACGTGGTTATTAACCATCTTTCTGGAGCGATAACCACAAGAAAACGCCTATATAAGATTTTGTACATCAACCTTAATGTTTGAGAACCCTTAAACTAACGAGTGAAACCAGCATATAAACACATGTATTGGTCTACCTCCTTTTTAATGAAGTAGCTGTCTTTGGCGAAAAGGGCAAAAACTATTGTATTTGTTTATTTGAATAATTTTAAATAATTAATAATAAAATAATAAAAGTAATTTTTAAACTCTTAGTTATCCCACTTCTAATTTATAAGATCTTCTTTTTACAAAATTAAAAATCAAGTAATAAAATATTTATTCTTGAAAAAAATAATGATAAAGATGCTTACTTTTGAATGTTTTTCAAGCTAAATTTAAAAATGCATTTCTTTGAAATCTTGCCATTTGGAACAACATGGATGGACCTAGAGGGTATTATGCTAAGTAAAATAAGGCACACAGAAAAAGAGAAATATTGTATGATTTCATTTATATGTGGAATCTACAAAACAATGAACAAACATAGCCAAACAGAAACAGAGTCATAGATACAGAGAAGAAACAGACTGTCAGAGGGGAGGGGTGTGGGGAGGAGAGAAATAGGTGAGGGAGATTAAGAGGCAAACTTCCAGTTACAAAATAAATGATTCACAAATGTGAAATGTACCGTGTGGGGAATGTAGTCTATAATTAGTTAATATCTTTGTATGGTGACAGATGGCAACTAGACTTATTATGGTGATCATTTTGTAAGGTACAGAAATATCGAATCACTATGGTGTGCACCAGGAACTAACACAGTGTTGTATGTCAATTATACTTCAAAAACAAACGAACAAAAAGACTCATAGAAAAAGAGATCATATTTGTGACTACCAGAGATGAAGAGAGGGGAGAGGGGGAATTAGACGAAGGTAGTAAAGAGGTACAAATTTCCAGTTGCAAGATACATTAATATTAGGAATGTAATGTCCAACATGATAAGGTAATTAATACTGCTCTACCTTATAAATGAAAGTTCGTAAGAGGGTAAATCCTATGAGTTCACAAGGAAAAGCATTTTTTTTTCTACTTCTTTAATGTTGTATCTATATGAGATGATGGATGTTCACTAAACTTATTGTGATCATGATGTAAGTCAAATCATTATGATGTACACCTTAACCTTATACAGTGCTGTATGTCAATTATATCTCAATAAAACTGGAGGAGAATGAAAAAATGCATTTCTTAAACTGTTGTTTCTATTTTTATTATGTTTAAGTGCCTTTATCTCGGAGAGAACAGAACTCCCTACAATACCCCATGTTAGAAAAGTTTTTAACATATTTTTTGTTCAATGAATGTTGAATACATGCCTGACTAGTAACTTTAAGAAATAATAGAAGTATATATTTCGGCATTCCCATTCTTGTGCCATATTTTCTTCGCAACATGATCAAGGGTCACCTGGCTCAACCGGTGTAAGGGTGACTGTCACTATATGCTTAATTTAGGTGAACCCATTGGCTCGTTTGTTGTAGGTCATTGTTTTGCTACTTACTTTGACTTCAATATCCTGCAGCATGTTAAAAACAAAGAAACATTTATTTAACAATGTAAGTACTTTTTTTTCCCCCTGTCAACCAAGAAATCTGATAGATAGTATCTAAAACGCACATCAAAGACAGCAATGGGGGGCTTCCCTGGTGGCACAGTGGTTGAGAATCTGCCTGCTAATGCAGGGGACACGGGTTCGAGCCCTGGTCTGGGAAGATCCCACATGCCGCAGAGCAACTAGGCCCGTGAGCCACAACTACTGAGCCTGCGCGTCTGGAGCCTGTGCTCCGCGACAAGAGAGGCCGCGATAGCGAGAGGCCCACGCACCACGATGAAGAGTGGCCCCGCTTGCCACAACTAGAGAAAGCCCTCGTACAGAAACGAATACCCAACACAGCAAAAAATAAATAAATAAACTGGGGGAAAAAAAAAAGACAGCGATGGGGAAAAAAAATAAGAGGACTTGCTTAAACTTGGCACACATTTAAATGTGACAGTGCTATTACAGTGTGAATAGAAGATTTCAATGAAAAGTTCATGCTGCTTGGAATAATTAAAAAACCAAATATTGAGGTTAGATAAAATACATGTATATGCAAGTACATAATCTATGACTCCCTGATACAGCACAGTAAAAACCTCACTAGTCTGTCAGGAATATAAAAGAAAAAGTAAATGGAGAAAGAATTTTTGATAAAGTTACGTGTGAAGAAAATATGCATGACTATATGATCTAAAGAGAAAAGATCTTTCTAAATTCAACACATACCTCCAAAATATAAAGGAAATGCAAAAGAATGGATTTATGAGAACTTCCATTAAATAAAAAACATTAAATAAAATGAATAAGCAAATGACAAAGAAATACCAACCTCTAACTGTGAAATTAGTGTTACTAACATATAGAACACTTAAAAAATAAGCCCTCCACCCCACCCCGCTCCCCAGAAGAGCCAAGAGAGAAACATGCAAATGACATAGACTGGCAATTCACACAAAACGGTAAATAATAAACGCATTAAAAAAAACCCCAACCCCACAAGAAATCAAAAAATGAAAATTAAAATAACAAAATTCCATAATTCATCTATAAAATTTAAAAATATAAAAATAATATTGCCCAGGATACAGGAAAAACAAGCTCTTCAAGACACTGTCTGTCAGAATGTAAACTGGCACAAGTATTTTAAAAATCCATTTGACAAAATGTAAATAAGTTTGAAAACTGTACATATGCACTGAGATCTAAACACTCCACTTTTAGGACCTGAGTAATTATGGCAACATGCAAAGATATTCATGGTAAGATTATTTAGAATTGCAAAGAAACAAAAACAAAAACCAATCTAGGGACTTCCCTGGTGGCACAGTGGTTAAGAATCCACCTGCCAATGCAGGGAACACGGGTTTGATCCCTGGTCTGGGAAGATCCCACATGCCGCAGAGCAAATAAGCCCATGTGCCAAAACTACTGAGCCCGTGCGCTCTAGGGCTCGTGTGCATCAACTACTGAGGCCCGCGCACCTAGAGCCCGTGCTCCACAACAAGAGAAGCCACCGCAATGAGAAGGCTGGGCACCTCAACCAAGAGTAGCTGCCGCTCTCCACAACTGGAGAAAGCCCGCATGCAGCAACAAAGACCCAACGCAGCCAAAAAAACGGACCAAAAAACCCACAAAAAAACCAATCTAACAATTAAATTAAAATATACTAAGAAAAAGAAAAAGGCTATAAACAGAAAGGACAGTATGATTTCTTTTTTTGTAGGGAAGAAGAAAAAAACAAAAGACCAGAAGGATATTCAACAGAAGTTATAGCAGGGTGGTAAGCTTATGGATAGTTTCCAATTATTTTTCTTTATATTTTCCATATTAAAAATAAACACACTTTGTAGTCAAAAGACAAAGGAGGTCATTTTTTGAGGTGAGGGAACTATTCTGCTTCTTGATCATGGTGGTGGTTAGATAAGTGCATGCATTTGTCAAAACTCAAACAACTGTATATCACAAAGAATAAATTTAACTGTATAAAAATTTTAAGTCGATCCAAATAAGGCATATTAAAATTCATAAAAACAACTATATAAATATATGGATGTGTGTGTGTATATCTCTACTACTGTTAATTTGCTTATCAGTTAGCCAATTTCACTTCTAGGCATTTAATCCTAGGAAATATTAAGAAAAGCACACAAACATAGCTAAGAAAATGCAGCCAACGTTATTTAAAGCAACAAAAAAGTGGGAACAACAGAGGTCTGTGTAAATAAGATATGGTCCAACAACAGGATATTTATTATAAAGATTTCAGTCTAGCATGATTAAACATTGAGAGCCATTAAAAAATAATGTTTTAATAGAGTAATTGATTTTTTAACTCAAAATATTAAAGGGGGGAGAATGGTCACAAATTACCATGTACACTGAGTTCCTAACTTTGGTTAATAAACAGGGGTAGGGGACAGAAGGGAAGGACAGGGCAAGTTGAGCATCCAGTTATGTAGACATAGAAAAAGTGTAACGTATGCTAAGATGTTAACAGTGGATACGATACGCATAGTGGGATACTTTTCTTACTTAGACCATTCTCTATTTTCCAAAATTTCTATAACAAAGTTATACTTCTTTAATCAAAAAAATATTTTTTAAACATATCACATACATTTACCTTTGACTATCAGATGGAAACATAACATGGTACAAAAGCTGTAAGAGTGAGTGATTCAGCAATTATATTAACAACCAAAAAAATGTAACAACTTGAACAGTTATTTATAGCATGGAAATTATTTTACTTACTAAATGCTTAATGTGTTAGCACTTGATTCTCTCCCCCATTAAATGCATGACATTACCCACCATGGTTCTTAAAACATTTTCACTAAATAATGTTGCTTTTGTTCACATATAGTTGCACAGTGAGATTTCTTCTTTTAAGCAAAGAAAACGTAACAGATATTCTATTACAGCTACTTAGAAAACACTACGAATTCAATACCACAAGTATACTGCTTCAGCCTAATATGGACTACACCAACCACCAAATTTAATTTTGAGAGGCTGATTACAACCTAAATAAAGGATATGCAGAAATATCCATATTCACTTTTCTAAGACATAAATCCTTGGAACTTTTTTTAAAGCAACACGCCAAAAGGTCAGATATGCATACTGAAGAGGAACTACCTCCAAAGCCCTGAAAACACCCAACCAACAGGCTAACAACACAAATCTCTCCCTAGATTGTCAACAGAATCAATAGTCTGAGATCTACTGGGGACAATAACAGAGCAAGAAAGATGGCCACACCACCTCAGTGGCACATTGCTTTGAAACAGTTAATGTGAGGCTGGGAGGGAAAGTCACACAAATGAATCCTGAAAGTTACATAAGCCTGGGATACACTGACTAAGCTAATAGCTGCCGAGGATGGAGAGTCACACGCAACTTAAGAAAAAGCGGTAAACCAACTGCAAGGAATAAAACTTCTATGTATAACTCTAACAAACATGGAATCACTGTACACGAACAAATGAAAACAAAGAGGATTAAAACATTATTCACTGTTATAGCAGAATTGTTTCTTAGGGGAAAAAATGGATATAAAAAGTTTCCACCCGCCTCCTGTTTGCTATTCCTCCTAGAGAGGCAATGTGTACTCATTAGTTTTCAGATCCTGTTAGATTTGGGATAACGTGATTGGGCTTGAAAACATGACAGAAAATGCCTAAGTGGATCATTATGGAAAACAAGAGCATCCCATATACAAGAGAAGGAAAATAAGGAAATTAAGTTTTAAGAAACCCAACACATAAACATTTTGATGTTTTCACTCAGTGTTGGTAGCAGATTCAAAATGAAGTACACAACACGTATTTATTTCCTTAAAGACTTGCCTCTTTTCAGAAGAGACCTGAAGGTGTTTACAACAAAGGATATAATGAGGCCAAGAGAAGTAAAAAGTGGGATTACGTCTATGACAATAAAGGTAGCTTTCCATGTACCCTTCCATGTATGTTCCTAGAGAAGTCTTCATAGCAACAACTTTTTGGCATGTTAACTCAGCCCTCTTATGCCTGGCTGCTCCTGGGGACTGAGATATGGCACAGGGTGCACAGCACTGTTCAGAGGCAGTACTGTTACTTCGCACATAAAGTACAAAGCATGTAAGGGAAGAGTCTGTGCTACAGGAAAGCTTGTACATTTTAAATGACAAAGTTTCTTGAAGTGCCAGTGTTCAATTTTAATAGCTCAAGGTAGAATAAAAAGCAGGTATCAGCTCAATTTTCCATGGGATGATGTTATGAAGCCAGAAATTACTAGGATTGAGAAAAGGTAACAACTCTAAATCAATCTAAATAGGAAATCCCTATAACTACACTTCGTATAGTTCTAAATCTTATAACAAATCTGAAACACACATATAATGAACTGGGAAAGATTTAATCTCTCACAATCATATGGATAATCTGTGGTAGGCGAAAATCAACCTATATATCTATCAACTCAAACAGGCAAAAATAAGAGCAGGGAAAAGAGCTTTATTCTGTGTCAGAACTACATATAAACCACAATACAAACAAAATAAAATTATATGCTGACATGTAACAGAGAGAAAGAATGGAAATATCCAAAGGGGTTGAACCATAAACTTATACGGTAATACTACATTTAGAAGGAATAGACATGATCACTGTGAATATCAATTAGTGTAACAAAATAACTAAAGTGGCCATGTATTCAATTAGCTGAATTCTAGAGTTTTGTTACAAATTAGAAATTACATAGGGTTCACTGAGCCTTTATCAAGTGGCATTAATAAACAACGACTTATACTCAAAGCACTGTTTTCCAAACTATACCAGAAGGTGACCTTCAAAAGGGTAACTCATCTACGTGAACCTGAACGATGCCCATCCTATTATCAACTTTAGCATAATTTTCAATGACTACTTAGAGGCATTAAGCACAAGCTATGAGCAAACCCCAGCCTGAAATATTATGTCCACTAACACAGTAAG